AACTTTCATCAAAGGAAATATACTGTGTTAGGATTTCTCCAGAGACAGAATCAATAAACTATCTTATGGAGCTTCCTAGGTGGGTCGAGTGGTAAAGAATCCACTTGCCAATGCAGGAGAAGTAAGGGATGAGGGTTCGATCCCTGGGTCAGGGAGATCCCCTGGAGGAGGGCATGGCAACCCACTCCAGTGTTCTTGCCTGGAGAATCCCAGGGACAGAGGAGCCTGGAGGGCTACAGTCCATGGGGTCACAAAGAGTCAGACATGACTGAAGTGACTTAGCACGCATGCACAGATATACATCTTACATGAGGAGATTTAATATATAACAGGGAAGAGCAAAATCTGACTCTGTATTGGATCTTTTTGTTGCTTTTGTTATTAATATTACAATTACTAAAAGGATACTGTCTATAGCTATAAGCATGTATAATGATTTGCCTCAAGAAGCCCTGCCCCTCTGCCTGAATGTTAAAGTGCCTTTGTTCCGCTCACAAAGGAGACATTGTGACCCTGCCTACCTGTGAATGGCTGCAAAAAAAGAAGAAATTAACACATCCCCTTTCCGATGCTAACTAAGCTGGAGATACTTTGCAAAACTTATGGTCTTTTTACTTTATATCCTTACCTCCTTTCCATCTCTGTTCTATAAAAGAAACTGGCATCCAGACCCTCTGTATCTTTTAGCCATAGAAGACTCCTCAGAGTTCCCTTGGACAGCAAGGAGATCAAACCAGTCAATCCTAAAGGAAATCAACCCTGAATATTCATTGGAAGGACTGATGCTGAAGTTGAAGCTCCAATACTTTGGCCACCAGATGTGAAAAGCCGACTCATTGGAAAAGACCCAGATGCTGGAAAAGATTGAAGGCAGGAGGAGAAGGGGTCAACAGAGGACAAAATGGTTGGATGGCATCACTAACTCAGTGGACATGAGTTTGAGCAAACTCCGGGAGATGGTGATGGACAGGGAAGCCTGCCGTGCTGCAGTCCATGGAGTTGCAAAGACTCCGACACAACTGAGCAACTGAACAGCAAGAACAATCCAGACCCTAAGATGGTGCTCTAGGACATTAGTCTGCCATCTTCTCGGATGTCCAGCTTTCCAAATAAAGTCTCTATTCCTTGCCTCAACACCTTGTCTCCTGACACTTGGCCAGTCATGCAGTGAGCAGACCCGAACTTGGACTTAATAACAATTATAGGAATTCGCTCATGCAATTGTGAAGGCTGAGAAGTCTCACCATCTGCTGTCAGCAAGATAGAGAACAGAAAGCCAGTGGTGTACTCAGCCTGAGAACCAGGAACCCTGCTGACTGAGATGTCCCAGTTCAAGCAGAGGTAGCAAATGAGTCTGTCCTCTGCCTTTTTGTTCTACTCAGGCCCTCAGAGGACTAGGTCATGTAAGGGCCATTGACTTCATTTAGTCCACAGATGCAAATGCTAACCCAGAAGTGTTTTTCCCAGTTTTACCACATCCCCTAGTCAAGTTGACACATACAATTAACCTATACAAATATACCCTTTTACTTCATCGTGAACAAGCCCCAAAGCCCTTATCTGTTCATCCTAACTGTGGAGTGTCCTTTGGTATCTGATCACTTCTCAGGTACCACTGCAGGTACCATACTGATCCAAACCACCTTCATGTCTCTCTAGATCTCTGTTCCAACTTCTGATTTGTCTCCCAGCTTCCACCTGTGCCCTTTGCAGCCTATTTGCACACTGTAGCAAGGGTGTTCGTGATCTCAATGAGGTGGTGACATGGAGATCTTAATTCCCTGCCCAGGAATTGAACCTGCGTAGCCTGGATGAAAGCCAGGAATCCTAGCCACCAGACCAGCAAGAACTAGAGGCTAGAAGTTATTTTTTCCCTAGATCTTTGCCCCTAGTGAAAAATGCATTTCTCACAGAGGCAAAACTGTAAATGCAGGTACATAGTTCATAGCATAACAGCAAATGAGAGCACACAGGAAAAGTTTGTTTTGTTAAGACAGAAGCAAGGCAGAGACGCACACCCAGAGAGAAAGGGTGTGTGCGTCCCCTCAGTGATGAAGAAAAAGAAAGAAAGTGAAGTCACTCAGTCGTGTCCAATTCTTTGTGACCCTATGGACTCTAGTCTGCCTGGCTCCTCTGTCCATGGGATTTCCCAGGCAAGAATGCTGGAGTGGGTTGCCATTTCCTTCTCCAGGGGATCTTCCCAGCCCCCAGCGAGGAAGAGTACAGTAAAGAAGTGTTTAAATCATTTATATAGGTCAGTTCTTCTGGGTCTTTACCTTTAACCAATTAATTTGGTTTCTTTTTCCACAACTGACCTGCCTAGGACCCTCCCCAACAGGAGTGTGGGGCATTTTTCCAAGGTGGATTTTAGCCCAGAGGCCTATGGGATCATGTATTAGCATCACATATCATGGGGTGGTGCCCCCCTCCTTTTGACCACCAAGCAGTCTTTCTGCACATGTGAAATGTCTCCTTTGCCCCAAGGATGCAAGGTGTGTGACCTCCCTCCTCTTTTAACAGGGCTTAGTCCCACTCTGTCTCTGCCATAAAAATGCCCAATATCTGATTATTTACCCTATTGCTGTTTTCTGAAAGATATGTATTTATCTCTTTGACTGAGGTGGGTCTTAGTTGTGGCATATGGGATCTTCTCTGCATCATGCAGTGTCTTTCATTGTGGCTCCACAGCATGTGGCAATCTTAGTTCCCTGACCAGGGATCGAACCCACATCCCCTACAATGCTAGGTGGATTCTTAACCACTGGACCACCAAGGAAGTTCCTCTTGCTGGCTTTTATATTTAAGTGTAGATCTCAAAATACAAACAGGAATCCAGTTATAAAGATGTAGTCCTGGAGTCCATTTGTCTCTTGCCTCAGGAAAGGTAAACAAGAGGCTGGTAATGAATGGATGGCCTGGAGCTCATCTTCTTCTCACTCCAGGAGGAGTGAATAGGAGGCCAGAAGTAAACTATCTATCTTCTACTTCATCTCTAATCAAATAAAGGCCTACATGGTCTCCCTAAGATGATGTCTTGCCAATGTCTCAAGCCCTGATTCCGGGCTACTCCTCTGAGCTCATTACATACTATTTCATACCAGCTCACTCTGAACTCCAGCTCAAACATGCCGATACACTTCGGCATCATGGATTTTTCACTTGTTTTTTTCTTCCTGGATCACTTTGCACTCTTGGCTTTCTGCTCCTCGTCCCTTCCTATATGTTGACACATTAGCAAAGCCTTCCCTGACCACCTGGTATAAAATCACACTTGCCCATTCCCTGTATTTCCTTATCTTCTTAACGTGCTTTTCCCCCTTCATAATGCTAATGTTCTATTTACTTACACATTTATTTGGTTACTGTCTGTCACCCCCTGCCCCAACCCCACACACCCTTGAAGAACATCTCTATGAATAGGGCTGGGACTTAGTTTTTTGTTTTCTGCTGTACACCTAGCACCTAGAATGGAGCTTGGCATTTGGTAGGTTTGTTTAAAAGGAATGTTATTTTGTCCCCAAAAAACAATGAACATTTATGGTAGAGAATGTAAAAATACAGAAAGATACAAAGAAAGAATATGCACCCTCACAAAAGATATCTATTATTAACATTTTCTTGAATTCCTTTCAGAGTTTTCTAAAAATATATTTTTTTCTTTCTGAGAAATCAAGATTATTCTTTATTTAAATCCAGCCTTTTAATAAACTGTATTGTGATCATTTTTACATTATGCATGGTTTTTTGTTTGTTATTTTCCCTACTAAATTATACAATTTTTGTATAATTTTGTTCTATTTTGTGTTTTCCAATTGTTCATATAACTATCAAATAATAATTGTATATGTGCATTTATAGCTAAAGGACATGCCGTGATAGATGCCACATGAAGAAATCTGAAATAGACATTCTACTCATATGACAATAAATACTTGAAGTATTAAAAAGAAGTCCATGGTGGCCAACATAATTTCCTAAGGGGATAATTTTCTAGATGAAGGTTACCGTGTTGTCATGTCAATATTTCAGGTGCCAAGGTTGCTGAATTTGTGCTAGGACACTTTAAAACTGCTTTATATGCAGTCTATGGATTGTTGAAATAGCAGCTTGCTTTCGGTTACCTAGAAAAATGTATGTCATTAAAATACTCTTTATATGCAACCCTGGGAACATGCCCCATGCATAATGTATTCATAGAAAGTTCATTTTATTTACCGTTTGTCACAGTATATGGTATAAGGAAGCACAGTTCTGATGTGCTTCAATTGAGTTATGCTTATCTTTTTGACAGAATAGGGAAATATATTTGTAAAAATGAATAAACACACCTTGAACTGCCTACCTTTTTAGGAGGTAGAGACTAACACATTAACATTATTCTGTTATTAAACCATCTATGGCAATAGACATTTTGGACATTTAATAGCTGCTTGTTTTCTAAATTGGGTGCCTGAAATAGTTTATGTCAAAATTTGATGGCAATGACTTGAAACAGCGGTAAATGCCGAGAAAAAACATTTTCCAGAGTTACAGTTTCATAACTGAACGGAAATGAAAAAACTCTGTTGTTACCGTTTCTGGCATTTAATCCTTTGATGTTTAATTCAATGTAATTCAAAGATTAGTTTTTATAACTGACTGCTATGGCAAATTCTCTGTTTCACATAATGATAGAGTGCTTATTTTTGTAGGACAAAATGTACCAGTGCAGTATTTGAGCAGTTTTTTAAATAGCAATATTGACAAACATCCAGTCAAATAAATTTTCTTCCTCAACAAATTCATTAATTTATAAATCAATATCTTTTATGCAGCGTAGACTACTAAACTGAGATCAGAGAGGAGATGGAAGTACTTTAAATACTTTAAGATGAATATCGGTGTCCATCTATTAGACACTTTGAGGTCTAACAAGGTCTAAATTTTAGTGTATTACATGTAAGGACTATTTATTATCCTTTTCAATTCTTGGGCCATTAAGTAATTACCATACCACTTACCTCCCATGTTGATATTCTGAAAATACATGCTCCTGGCTATCTGGGACTCCAGAAGAGTAAAACATGTGGACCAGTGGAAATCCATTACTATTACAAGAAAAAGAAGATGGAAAGAAAAAACTAAAGTGCAAAGCTCTAAGCACATGTCCTTTCCACAGGGTCTAGGTACAGAGATCAGTACCAGGTGAAACTGGCAGGGGTTGGTTAGGTAGGTTGACCCTTCCACTATATCTCTTCCCACTGCTGGTTCTGGCGTCTGTAATTCATGATGAGGCCACAGGTCCGTTGAGGAACCTGAGGTATCAGACATGCAGATGAAATTTCCAGTTATACATATTGACTACGTAAGTGGGAAAAGGTTAGAAAGATAGGCTACCATCTGATATTCATCAGAAATCTTAAACCTCAACGCCCAAAGTACAAAACACAGCAGGTTTAGGAGCAGCAGATTTTTCAGGGGCACCTCACGTTTCACCAGGTCTCGTTCTTACTGGTCTGGAGTCTGGATGGATCCTGACAGAAATGCCAGATTTTATCAAAGGTAGCTGGAGACAGCACTGAATACTCCCAGAGTCTCAGAGATTCCAGTTGTATTAAGCTAAATAAAAATAAAAAACAAGTACAACTTCCTTTATCGAATATTTGTTTTTGAAGTACCGTCTCTACCAAACACTATTCCTTTTCCAGATAAGGAAATTGAAAATTAGATCAAGTACATTATTCATCATATCATGCTAGTAAACGGCCAAGCTGGAATTTGAATACATCTGTCTAATCTCAAAGCCAGTATATAGTATATTTTATTATTTTCTAATTCTGACATTCAGTTTTCCTCCTTCAGGGCAACATATTCGAATACCAGTAAAAATTTCTAGGTGGGAATTTGTTTCTCGACTAAGCAAGTCAGGCATTAGTGACCCAGAAGACATCTTCACCTAGCTTCAAATAACTGAGGCCCATCTCTCTATGTTCCAGTATTTCAGCCTCGGCGCCGCCGGATGCTGGTTGGTGTCCGCAAGTAGATTTCCTCACAGCCCTGGAGCTGTTTCCTTCCGCGACCCCCAGAGGGCAGCGTGCATTAACGATCCCCCTGAGCCCTCTAGTGGGCAGTTAGAAGCGCTAACCTTGCCTCCGGGGATCTATGTTCCCAGGAACATTCTCAAAGCTCCGCGGGTGTTGCCCAGGGAAGAAAGGCTGTGTGACACCACCTGGAGTCGCCCTCATACTTCCCTTGGGTGCCTCCTGGGGTGTGTCCACAAACACTGCCCCAACTCAAGATGACTTCTCAAACCTGCCAAGTGTGCACTTTCGGATGCTACAGGGTAGAGTCTATCACTAAATTTCAGGAAGAATCCAATACAGGTATCTAGACGATGTGGCAGCCAGTCCAAAATTTATTTTCTTATGTCCGTCAAAATGCACAGGGTAGTTTATTTAAATTGATTCCCAGAAGCAGCTCTGAACATCGACTTCCCCAAGGTAAATATTCGAACAGCTCTAGTGACACCCTTCGATTACATAGGGTGGTATAATTATGATTTCTGGGATATCTTGGGGGTGTATTTATGGTGTATATTTAAAATAACATTGGCAAGCCTTATCTAATGTAGGAATGTAAAATTTCCCTTGATTTTAATATAATCATGATGACCTAGTACAGTAATTTCCTTAGTATTAAGTTAATGGCTTCCATGGTGGCTCAGCGGTAAAGAATCCGCCGGCCAAATGCAGGAGACGCAGGAGACATGGGTTCGATCCCTGGGTCGGGAAGATCCTCTGGCGGAGGAAATGGCAACCCACTGCAGTATTCTTCCCTAGAAAACCCCATGGACAGAAGGAACTGGTGGGCTACAGTCTATAGGGTCACATTAATTTAATACAGTAACTCTAGATTATTCTTATTATTTTGGAACATAAACATATGTATTTAAATATATACTTTAACATATGTATTTTGGCTATCAAATATAGATAGCAATTATAAGTCTATTTTACTACCTCCACTGGAGTTTATTGATATTATTTTATTATTATATTTAAAATAGACCAATTAACAGTGTTAAGTGCTGTAGAATACACAAGTAAGAATGACATGATTTCAAACCTCAGAGTTTGTGGGGAGACGTAAAGTATCTAGGTAACTTTTAAGAGGATGTAGCCCTAGACTTCCATCATCTTAGCAAAACAGAAGCAAACTAAGAAATCCCAGAAATAAAATAGAAAAATGACAACTTAAATGGTGCTGGCAATACTGTCCATCATTCAGTGATTACCTGAAGTAAGTAAGGCAGGAAATACGTGAATCTGTGGTTCCCTCATGTCTCTGTTCTGTGGGGCCTCTCAAGTTCAAGCATATCACTGAGCTGACTGTGATTCTAACTTTTAAAGATATGCATATATGCATTTTTCATATATAATGGACCCTAAAAGCAAGCCAACTACTTCATCTGGTGCTCAACCAAAGAAACAGGAATCTGTTCCAATGCTGGAGGAAAAACTTGTTGTCCTGAACAAACTTGTGATCTCCAGTGGAATGCCTGTCGAAGGACTTTTCCAAGGTAATTTTTATTTTTATTTTGTTTTTGATTATTCATGACTTTCTTATTTCTGATTTTAGGATCTAAGAGGTGTGATTTGATTGTAAGATAAGTATCATCAGCAGAATACATAAATTTTGCCGCACAGTAGGAGGCTCTTAAAGATTTCTGGATAAAGGATGTTGTAACATTGAGTTTGGAAGATTAATCAGGCAATAATATTCTAGATAAATCAGAAGTTGGCAATTAAGACAATTGAGAAGCTACTATGATTGTAGAAGTCAATGAGAAGAAAGTCAGACCTCTGGTGGAGGTAGGATAAGTAGGATAAGTTGACAGTTAAGTTTGAAAAATAGGACGGGGTGAGGTAATTTCAAGAAGAGATAGCAAATGATTTTAAGTGTTGCTGAAATTTCAAGGAGGGATGGGTGCTAAATTTATAAAGATCAAAGTCTAAACCTCAAATTAGGATATATGGTTTCTATCAAAGGGCTTTTTTTTTTTAGATTTATAATGTGTGTAACTAACACACATACTACAAAAATTAGCTCATATTTAGTTACATAGTTCATTCCTTATATGCTCAAAATAGTAAAAGTATTAAGTTGCTTCAGTCATGTCTGACTCTTTTGAGACCCCATGGACTGTAGCCCACCAGGCCCCTTTGTCCATGGGATTCTCCGGGCAAGAGTACCGGAGTGGGTTGTCATTTCCTTCTCCAGGGGATCTTCCTGACCCAGGGATTGAATCCCATCTTTTACGTCTCCTGCATTGGCAGGCATGTTCTTTATCACTAGTGCCAAGTATAGGAAACTGGGATTTTCTTAGAAATGACTCTTAAATTAGTAATTAGTGACCTTTTTAGAGAATATGGGCTGATGTCAGATTGCAAGCCAAGGAATGAGTTGGAGCTGAAGAAATATAGGCTTTGCTTTTGAGAAATTTAGTGATAGGAGCAAGGAGGAAGAAGAGTACGGTTAAAAGGCAAGAAAGACCTGGAAGACAGCTCAGACCAGGCTAATGTTCTCATGGCAACTTTTGGATTATTTTTCAATTATTCTTTCAGCCTTTCTCTTTGCATATACTACTTTGAAATCATTTGATATGCTACAGATTTTGTCCATGTAATAAAACAAATTGGAAAATATCATGCAGTATTTGCAGCCAGGCGAAACTATGTTTAGTGCATTATCTGAGTGGAAAGATCATGCAAGGATTCAATCAAAGAAGATTGTTTCCATGACTCTTTAGTCACGCCTAAAGTATCTTTCAGGTTTTTCCTATCTGTGAAATGCTGTCGTTCTCCATTCCCTAACCTAGAAGTCTTTGAAACAGTGGGGTGGGAGATGCAGATCTTACTGAAGCAGAGATATTTCTCATTTCAGACATGGGGGATTAAGGTGATATTGCAATATCAGTCATTTCCCAAGTGCTCATGCTCTTTAGTGGGATATGATTTTGTCAGCCGAACAATATTTTCCATTGAACCTATTCAGGCACTTAGAACACTGATTGATCATAGGAAATTAGCTCTAGCTTTTAGAGCATAATAGGTTTGACGAGATGGGAAAGGATCACTGCCCTTAAGGGAACAGGTCAGGCAAAATGGGAGGAAAGTGAGTTGGAAATCTTTGCCTCGAACAAATTAGCGAATGTGAACAAAGCATCCTATTCTGAGATGAGGAGTTAAAGTAGTTTTACCTGGCACATGACAGTTTTATTTTAACTTAAAATTTAAAACATCCATTATCACACAGAGCCTGGAGATGGAGTAGGTATGTTTTTATTACATCTTTCAGAAAATAGCTCATTCTTGCTTCTCTCTTAAAATCTTTAGCTCATGGAGGTCCAGGATATAGGACTTTCAGTATTAAAACTGGGCAAGTTCTAGGCAAACTGGGACAGGCTGGTAACCTATATTTGGAGTAAGGCTACTGACTATGTATGTCCTTACTTCCTACAGTGAAATCTTGGTCAGTCTTCCTCATTTGGTGAAGAATTTAACATCTAACTTACATTCTTCTTTCCATCACTATTGTTCATGTGGAAAATCCATCCAATGCCTGAATATTTTTTAGTTACTTGACCTTTTCTCTTACAGTCTTTTCCTTGTCCTCCTCGAGCTTCGTTGCCAATTCTTATGGTGACACTTTAGATTTTGTCATTATGAATAACTATACAGCTCTCAAAATCTCAGTTTCTAACATCCCAGTCATCAACCACCTCTCCTCTCTTTCCAGTTCACTGTCTCTATGATAATTCTTTGATTACAACAGTGCTTCTAATCCATGCCTTCCTTGTGTCCGTCTCTGCCTAACTTAAAAGGTAGAAATCGATATTGCTTAATCCTAACAATTCACATAAAAATATGGTAGTTTACTGGCTAAAGATGTGATCTCCTTAAATCCTGGGTCCGATATTTATTAGCTACATGGCCTTGGAAAAGTTTCTTAACATCTCTGTACCTCAGTTTTCTCATGAGTGCCCAACTCATAGGGTTGTTGTGGGGTCACAATATTAATAAAGGTAAAATGCTTAGGCAGTGCTTGGCAGATAATAAACATTCAGTAAATGTTTCCCAAGCTTGGAGTTGATGGCTGGAAAAAAACATCTAACAATTCTGACTGATCTCTTTTAAATTTATGACTGTGTGTCTCAGTGGGTCTTAATGCTGTTTCAGTCAATCACAGTTCCCATTTCCTTATTGATTTATTTTCTCTCTTCAGAGGTTACTATTTCACACCTATTTCTTCTCAAATTTTCAACTCCTCTTCCCTGCTCCTCACTATCAGGGGATGATTTTGCTTCTTATCTCACTGGGAAAGCAGATGCAATCAGAAGGTAAAGCTGTTTTCCCACCAACCAGCCCACCCACATCTGTAGCCTTCAGATGCAATGAAAGCATCTCTTTATTTTAGGAAAATCCTTGACTTATTCACTGGATTCCATTCATTTTCACTTTGTCAAGAACTCTACTGCTGTAATTGCCTCTTCTCTGTCTTGCATCATTACCGTCTTCTTTTTTCTCTGCTATAATGTTGTTGTTTAGTCTCTCAGTCATGTTTGACTCTTTGTGCCCCATGGAGTGCAACATGCCAGCCCTTCACCATCTCCTGGAGCTTGCTCAAACTCATGTCCATTGAATCAGTGATGCCATCCAACCATCCCGTCCTCTGTCGTCCCCTCCGCTCCTACCTTCAGTCTTTCTTAGCATCAGGGTCTTTTCTTCACATCAGGTGGCCAAAGTATTGGAGCTTCAGCTTCAGCATCAGTTCTTCCAATGAATATTCAGGGTTGATTTTCTTTAGGATTGACTGGTTTGATCTCCTTGCAGTCCAAGGGACTCTCAAGAGCCTTCTCCCACACCACAGTTCAAAAGCATCAATTCTTGGTCACTCAGACTTCTTTATAATGTACTCTGTTATTAATCAACAATCTTAAACAAAAGGAGAAAAGAAACCTCCCTTGCTTCTACGCCCTCTGTGGCTACCAACTGATTTACCATCCTTTATAGCAAACCTCAGTATTTCCACAGTTTCAGCTCCCATACTTATGACAATTCTCATCAAGTTTTCAATTTCACTATTCCACCTGAAACCATACCTTGGCCCACAAGCCAACGTTGGCTTCCATCTTGTCAAATTGGGTCATTCATTCTTAGTCCTCATCTTACTCTGCTTGTCAGTAGTGTCTAACACAACTGACCACGCCCTCTTTATTGAACCTTTTTAAAAAACTTGGCTTTAGGAAATTACACTGTTTTGATTTATTATCTACCTTTCTTCTCAGTGCCCTTGACTGGATTCTTCTTTGGACTTTTAACTGCATTTGAAATAACAG